GGATTATACTGGTTATTACAATAAAAATTATTATTTAAGAATTTTTTCTATGTTTTTAATAAAAAGTTTTGAAAGGAACAAATTTATTCATCCAAGCTTTTAAAAAACTACTTATTGCTTAGTATGAGAAACACTAAAATACTGCCATATATCAGAGTTACTGATATATAATGTTTATTTTATGAGATGCTCAACAGGAGAAACTTCTGCCCACTAATACTACCACAACAGCCCAGTGCAAAAGAAAAAAAAAAGGGTCAGTTTAATCTTGGAGGTGCTACCAAATCCAAGATGCTCTCACAAGTGAAACAATAAATAAAATAATAATCATCATAAAATTAAAAGGTGAGTTATACATTTAAAGGCTACTTTGAAAGGACAGAGAACTTGCCATGAAAGAACACATAAGAAGATGATCTTCCTTTCCAGGTCTTAAAAGTTAAGAGACCAACAGTGGTTAATATTTTATCAATCTCACCTGTAGAACATTTTAGACTAAAACAGCAATAAAAATAACACCTCACTCCCAGCTAAGTAGGTTTCAAAATCTTTAACGCAATTGTGAAATTTCAACATATATTAACTGAATAAAAGACAACTGATGCAGATATTCGGCACATAATTGATCAGTTGAGAGATAACACAGAAGTTGTAGGTTTTTGTTTTCTTTCTTCCTTTAAGGATGGGAGGGAGAGACAGGACTGAAGAAGGAAGAAATGAATCAGTAATCTTCAAGATGTGGTCAAACTATTGCTGACTTTTGAGTGTTTTCAGAGGTACTAAGCTTAGATGGATTGTACAAGTACCTCCTATTCTTTCTTCTGAGTTGACATTAAAACTCCAGTAAAAGTAGCAAAATTAAACCACAGAAAGAGCTATCAAGAGCAAATCTCAAAACTTGTAACACAAATGTACTAACAGCACATTACGCACTAAAAAAAAAAAACTCGTTGCTGTTGAGTCAATTCCAACTCATGGTAATCCCACGAGTTACAGAGTAGAACTGCTCCATAGAGTTTTCTTAGCTGTGTTCTTTATGGAAGCAGATTTCTCCTGCAGCACCTCTGGCTGGGTTGGAACCGCCAATCTTTAGGTTAGCAGCCAAGCACAATTACACGTTAGTTCATTTAATAAGCCACTTCATTTTTGTTTTGGGGGTTTTAAGCTCAATAACCAACATTTAAGGGAAAAAACTCTATGTAATTAATGGTAGTGATATTTACAGTATACTGCGTTAAAACTTTTCCTCCCAAGAGTTTTATTAAACTAACTTGTCTTTCTGCCTATAATACAAAGACAGCAGAATTATCTAGTCTTAAACTAAACCCTGTTTTAAAACTAAAGCAATGTTAAGTTGAAGAAAAAAATGTGAAGTTCCCAAAGAAAGCCTGAATTATTTTTACAAGATTTGTACTATTGTATCATCTTTCATGCAGGGCCATACACTAGCCACCCACAATGAGACATGTTCAAGATACTATTTCAGCCTGTACTTTAAATGTCCTGGGTTTTGTGGGTTTTATGCCATAACCCTGTTACATAAAGTTATTTCTTTATTTCTTTCCATTTCAATATGCTATAAATCTACCTGTCTCTTGTTGGAACCCCTTTAGCATTCTTAAGTTTCACAGAAGGAAACAGTACTCCAAGTTTGTTTCCATTGGCTCTGGCCTTCACTTCCAACAGTGAGAATAAATGACTAGTTGTTCCAAAAAGAGCCATCAAGAGAGAATTTATCCCTTCCACAGTAATAAAAATATTCTATTTTCTTCATCCCTTCCCCCACTCTCAACATATTCTTGCTGTCAGATGGCCTCCACTGAATCAAACATTTAAGAAATGCTCTACTGTTTCTCCAAATGCATAAGAATGCCATCAAGCTTCTGAGTGTAGATCATGTCTGCCTCATTCCAGGTGTCTAACATCTGGTGCTAATCCTGCAGTGACCACCGTAATAAAGCAGGAGGAGCCTTTGCCTGGCTTTCATCCTAACCATTCTCTAAGGAGATGAATGAAAACTTGGACTCGGAGTGTGAAAGACTTTAGTTTTTAGGGAGAAGGTTTAAATGAGAAGGCAGTCTGAAGAACAGCAATGAAAATCACAGCTCAGGACATCAAAATACTTGCAACAGGGCTTCGTTTCTTTGGAATCACAGAAGTTGCCATCAGTTTTATTTTGTCTTACATGGAAAGCATTACCCTTCATTGATAACATTTTCAAGCCAAAAAACCAGTATGTAAATATAGATAAGACTTTTTTTGTTTTGAAGTCTAGGAAGAGAGAGAATACCTAAGCTACTTGTATTGAAAAACAGATGAGCACTTGGAGGACACCCATGACTCTTTACACAACTATCATTTCCTATAGTCAGTCACTCTACATAACAGAAAGGTGGCAAATAGCACATTGTAACAACTATGATGGAGTCAGACACTTCAATTTACAGTGAGCTCACAACTGCTGTGAATACTACTGAATTCTGAGCCAGCCATAAAAATTAGGGCCAAGCCCCTACAGCTTACCAAGAATCAGAGACAGTGCAATTTTTACTTCTCTCCACCCTTTTCATTCTCGAGCAGCTCAACGTTAGGGAAAGAATTAAAGGAATTAAAGCAGGGAAACAGCAAAGACAGAAGTGGGAAGTTGTACTAAAAAAAATTGCATTTTTATTTATCTAGTGCCTTTCCCAGATTATCCTGCTAGAGATTTCTTACTAACCTTCCAAACAAGCATTAAAGTGTGAAATTATAGTTTTAGATAGGTTCCTATCCAAAAAACTACCAAAAACCTAAAATACTATTGTTTTAATATCACTAAAGATAAAAAAATTTTAATCACTTTTAATAATTTTTTTCATGTTACTTGGCAATTTGTCATATACTCTCAAATTTGATGACTACCGATTTTCTTTTTACACCCAGCTTTTTAGGGGAGATAAACTGCCACACAACAAAAGTAAATGTGGCTGGCATTTTGCAAGCTTTCAGCAATTTCAAATCAATGAGTACCAGTACACAAAAACCCAAGTGCATAATGCTGACCAGCCATAAATGGAGCTATAGAGGTAATATGGCTAAAGATGAGGGTTCCGTAAAAGAAAGTTTACATTAATGGCATGATGATTGAATGGAGGGGATGTAAGGCAATTTCAAACAGCTTGCCAAAGGAAAGTCTCATTTTTCCATTTTCTTGTACAGTATCTAATTTCTGGCTCCTCATTTCCTCAGTGATCTGATAATTATGAAATTCTAAATAAAGTGTCATCTTTCTTGCAACAAATCAATGAACAGAAAGCTCCCATCAACAAGGCAGATGTTTCCTAAACCTCTTGCTGATGATTTCCTGAATGTCTACCTCACAAACCACACAGCAAGTTCTTTGAGAATGAGGAACCCTCTCTACTCCATAAAAAATACAGCTTCAATGTATTTGCGTATATGTGTGCATTCAGAAAGAGGACTAAGAAGTGATATGCAATTGACAGTAAACAGTCACCACAAATTCTCCTTTTACTACCTATTTAAAATTAAAATTTAGTCCTTTCCCACTGCTGTGCTACAAATATGGGAAACAAGAATTCTTCTTAATTGTATATTGGTCCCTACAAATGCAATAAAATTTTGTTGCATTCCTTATCCCAGAAACAATTAGACCAAATAGCACCACCATATATACAATTATATTTAGGGTATCCCTCTCCCTATAACACAATCTAAAATAGATTCCACCTTTATTCCTCATGCCATCCTTATAATAATCTTATGCAAAGACAAAACTTGTTAAAATAAAAAATTCTGCAAGTTAGTAACTATGCCTTTAGGTACACAGTAAGCCTAAACTTACCTACTAACAAAGTAACATTATGGAGAAGTGTGTTTTAAACACTCTTCCAGCCTACCAAAAATAACAGATATTCCCATTTTTGCAAAATGTCCCTATCTTCTGCATTTTGTTTGTTTCAATTATTCAGGGCAACCCAGGCTGATAATTACACAGTCCCCAGTCGCTGAGTAACAGTGATGCTTAATTAGCCAGCAGGAAAGATTGATTAAGATCCAACAGGGCATCTTGTGAGGTTCTCTCACACTACTAGAGGGAATAAATTCTGGCTGTGTCCTTCCAAAGGATAAAATCCCAAGCTTCTAAGAAGCTTCTACGAGGTTTTTAAAGTAGATGCTAAGAACAGTCAGCCATGCAAATTAAAGCCCAGTCATAAGCCTGCAAACGGTCTCCCTTTTCTAAAAGCACTCAGTTCAAATATTCTGAACCACATTGCTGCCAGGTTAGAAAAGGCTAAAGTAACACTCACTTATCCCTAAATCTCATTCAGCTATTACATTTCAAGCAAGAAGTGATCGGCAAATATGTTGTGAAGTACGATTTTTATTCCTTCCTCCCCCAAGCAAGTGTACGCACCTATCAGATGCTTACATCCTAAAATGTACAAATTAGGTCAGGGCTTCTTATTTAAAAAACAAAACAAAAAAACACAAAACTTAATGCACATGATATTCCACCCCAGTCTGAGAATAAAACATTCCAATGTGGTCAAAGACTCAACTGGATAAGTTTGGTTTAAGTTTCCTATTAGGGAAGGAGATGTGGAAATAAACTCAGGACCAAAAATCCTAACAAAAATTTATTATCTCATACTACTAACACCTTCTCTTTAGTAATCTGAACAAACATAAATGTTTAGCTCTCACAATTTTTTAGTTAAATACAAAAGTATTCAGTAAATGCCAACATAAAAATCCAAGACTAAAAATAAAATAATTATCTTAAGATACATACTTATCAAAATATCTCTATTTTGATATACTAACTACACTATGCCTTGCCTCCAATTAATTCAGTAAATCTAAGCTTCTACCAAATATAAAGAACTATGACATGTATGTCTTACTTTGTTAATTTATACACTATTAAAATAGATTTTACTGATTATGAATTGTTTTAAAGCATATGAAGAATAATAATGGAAACAGTTTATACAAACTTGGCTCTGATTTGCTGAAAACCCCGCAGAATATGGTCCCTGAGGTCTCTTGCACCAGCACTGAGGTTCTCATTTCGCAAACCTTCCAATAGGAACTCTTCACTATCTAAAATAAAAGGAAAGTTGGTCAACATAAAAGAAAAAGAAAAAATCTGAACAATTAAGAAATAGGTATTTTTTCTCTTTTAAAAACTTGATATATACCTAAAAGTGACACACTCTGACGATCCAAGATCTTGCTATGAATTTAGAAAGCTAGAGCATATATTAACCACAAGAAATAACTATTTTCTAAAGCATTTTAAAGAAACATTTAAATATTAGTTACAACTGATGGCAGAGGATGGACTATCAATTTCATAAACATATAAATATTACAAACCAGTCACAAAAGGTCACAGGCCAATAAAAGCTAGAAAGAAATACCAATAAATAGAGCTGAAATAAAAAAATAGAGTTGAACTGCAGGATCAAGAACAAAAAGGGCAGGCATTCAAAGAAGAGAAATTAATTAGCAGATACATCACCAATGAAAATGACAATGCAACCAAGTGAAGGAACCCACATGGAAAAGAAAAATGTGTCCAAGAGAAGGAAACTGCAATTAATATGAACGTAAATTATAAAATAGGGACATGCTAAAAATATATAATATGAAACAAATCATGTTATGTTGAAGAAAGAAATTGGGAGAGGTTCTGGATATCTACAAATTGTCAAAAACAAAATACATTGGTAATTATTGTAATTGCCAGAAATACTAGCTATGTACTTTAGTCTGCATAAAAGGGTTATCATCTCTAAAAAGCCTATAAATAATAGTTTAAATTTTCCACCTCCAAAAATTGTGATAGTAATATAGAAGTGTATCATATATACCATCAAAATAATGTTATAAATTTATACAGTTGGGTTACATAAGCACACCTAAAAATGTTTTATATTCACATCATTCAACAACACCAAACAAAAAAATCTTAGATAGCCATCACCAGGAATTTTGATAAGGTACAAAGTTCTAGAAATTGAAAAGTTCACAGAGGACTACTGTCAGCTTCCAAGCCCTGCATCACATCTATTCCATACATCATTGAATAGGTTTTTCTAGTGTCCTCTGAGCACTTAAGAACGGGGGAATGGGAGGTTGAATTAAAATGTAAAAATAATATGCCGTACTAATAGAATAAAGGACAAAAACTACAGGATCATCTCAACAGACACAGAAAAAACTTTTGATAAAATTTAACACTGCTTCATGATTAAAACACTCTATACGCAAGGAATACAAGGGAACTTGCTCAACTTGACAAACGACATCTACAAAAAATCAACAGCTAACAGAGTACTTAATGGTGAAAGACTGAATGCTTTCTGCTAAGATCAAGAAAAAGACAAAGAGGTCCACTCTTGCCACTTACATTAACACTGTACTGGTGGTGCTAGCCAGGGAAATTAGGCAAGACAATGAAATAAAAGGCATTCATATTGGAAAGGAAGAAGTAAAACTATCTCTATTTGCAGATGGCATAATCTTACATGTAAAACCCAAACCTACTGCTGCTGAGTCGATTCTGACTCACAGCAACCCTATCCAACAAAGTAGAACTACCCCGTAGGGTTTCCAAGGCTGTAATCTTTACAGAAGCAGACTGCCACATCTTCCTTCTGTGGAGCAGCCGGTGTGTTCGAACCCCTGACCTTTTGGTTAGCAGCCGAGTGCTTAACCACTGCACCACTAGGGCTCCTTAATGTTTCATATAGAGAACTCTAAAGAGTCCACTCACTTAAAAAACAAAATTATCAGAACTAATAAACAAGCTCAGTAAGTTTGCAGGACACAAGATCAATATACAAAACTCAATTGTATTTCTATACAGTAGCAATAAACAAATCAAAAATGAAATTAAGAAAACAAGTTCATTTAAAATAGCATAAGAATATTTGAATACTAAGGATATGTGCAAAATTTATATTCTGAAAACTATAAAACATTGCTGAAAGAAATTAAAGAATATCTAAATAAATGGAAAGCCATTCCATGTTCATAGTAGAAAACACTTAATATTGTTAAGATGCCAATGCTCCCCAAATTGATCTACACATTCAGTACAATCCCTATAAAAATCCCAGTTAACTTTTTTGCAGAAATTGACAAGTTGATCCTAAAATTAATTTGGAAATTCAAACGACCTAGAGTAGCCAAAACAATCTGGAAAAAAAGGACAAAGTTGGAAGACTTGCACTTCTCAATTTCAAAACTTACTATAGTAATAAAGACACTGTAGTACTTGCATAAGGATAGCTATTTAGACCAAAGGAATAAAATTGAGAATCCAAAAATAAACCTTCACATTTATGGTGAATTAATTTTTGATAAGGGTACCAAGACAGTTGAATGGGGAAAGAATAGTTTTTTCAACAAATGGTGCTGGGACAACTGGATATCTACAAGAAAAGAATGGAACTGGACTCCTACCTCCTGCTACATACAAGAACAAAAACGGATCAAAGATCTAAATGTAAGAGTTTAAACTATAAAACTCTCAGAAGAAAACACAGGCATATATCTTCGTGATCTTGAACTGGGCAATGGTTTCTTAGATATAATACCAAAAGCACAAGTAACAAAAGAAAAAAATAGATAAGTTGGACACCATCAATACCAAAATCTCTTTGTGCCTCAAAGGATACCATAAATAAAGTGAAAAGACAACCTACAGAATGGGAAAAATTTTTTGCAAATCATATAGCTAATAAGAGACTTGTATATAGCATATGTAAAAAACTCTTATAACTCAATAATAAAAAGGGCAAATAACCCAATTGTAAAAATGGGCAATGGACTTGAATAGACATTTCTCCAAAGAGGATATACAAATCGCCAACAAGCACATGAAAAGATGCTCAACATCACTAGACCTCAGGGAAATATGAACCAAAACCACTAATGAGATATCACTTCATACCCACTAGAATGGCTACAATAAAATAGACAACAATGAGTGTTGCTGAGGATGTGGAGTAACTGGAACCCTCCTACATTCATTGCTGGTGGGAATGTAAAATGGTGCAGCTGTTTTGAAAAACCGTCTGCAGTCAAAAGGCTAAATAGAAAAGTTATCATATGACCCAGAAATTCCACTACTAGAGATATACCCAACAGAAATGAAAACAGGCATTCAAACAAACACTTGTACACGAATGTTCATAGCAGCATTATTCTTAATAGCCAAAAAGTGTAGACAATCCAAATATCTATCAACTGATGAATGGATAAATAAAATGTGGTATATATCTACCCAATGGAATATTCTTCAGCAATAAAAGGAAATTAAATACTGAGATATGCTACAACATGGATGAACCTTGAAATCATTATGCTCAGTAAAGGAAGCCAGATACCAAAGACTACCTACTGTAAGATCCCATTACATGACATATCCAGAATAGGCAAATCTACGGAGACAGAAAGTAGATTAGTGGTTGCGTAGGGTTGCTAGAGGGGGAAAAGGGCGATTTCGGGAGGGAAGGCTAAGGAATTCAGGATTTTCATTTGGTGCTCACTCATCTATGCCAAGAAATTTGGAAGACAGTTACCTGGCCAACCAACTGGAAAAAATTCACATTTGTGCCCATTCCAAAGAAAGGTGATCCAACAGAATGCGGAAATTAGCAAACAATATCATTAACATCACACATACTAAAGATAATTCACGAATGGTTGCAGCAGTACTTTGACAGGAAACTGCCAGAAATTCAAGCTGGATTCAGAAGAGGACGTGGAACGAGGGACATCATTGTTGATGTCAGATGGATCTTAGCTGAAAGCAGAGAATGCCAGAAAGATATTTACCTGTGTTTTATTGACTATGAAAAGGTATTTGACTGTGTGGATCATAACAAATTATGTATAGTATTACAAAGAATGGGAATTCCAGAACATTTAATTGTGCTCATGAGGAACCTGTACACAGACTAAGAGGCAGTCATTCACACAGAACAAAGGGATACTGCATGGTTGAAAATCAGGAAACGTGTGTGTCAGGGTTGTATCCTTTCACCATACTTACTCAATCTGTATGCTGAGCAAAGAATCCAAGAAGGTGGACTATATGAAAAGGAACGTGGTATCAAATTGGAGGAAGACTTATTAACAGTCTGCAATACGCCTTGAGGAACGCAAAGAGAACTTGAAGCACTTACTGATGAAGATCAAAGACTATAGCCTTCAGTATGGATTGTGCCTCAACATAAGGAAAACAAAAACCCTCACAACTGGACCAATAAGCAACATCATGATAAATGGAGAAAATACTGAAGTTGTCAAGGATTTCATTTTATTTGGATTCACAATCAATGCCCATGGTAGCAGGAGTCAAGAAATCAAACAACATTTTACAGTGGTCATATCTGCTACAAAAGATCTCCTTAAAGTGTTAAAAAAAAAAAAAAAAAAAGTAAAGATGTCACTTTGAGTACTAAGGTACGCCTGACCCAAGCCACGGTATTTTCAGTTGCCTCATATACATGCGAAAACTGGACAATGAATAAGGAAGACCAAAGAATTGATGCCTTTGAATTATGATGTTGGTGAAGAATACTGAATATACCATGGACTGCCAGAAGAACAAACAAATCTGTCTTGGAAGAGTACAGCCAGAATGCTCCTTAGAAGGGAGGATGGAGAGAATTTGTCTTATGTACTTTGGGCATGTTATCAGGAGGAACCAGTCCCTGGAGAAGGACATCATGCTTGGTAAAGTAGAAGGTCAGCGAAAAAGAAGAAGACCCTCAATGAGACGGATTGACACAGGGGCTGCAACAACAGGCTCAAACATAGCAATGATTGTGAGGATGTTGCAGGACAGGGCTGTGTTTTGTTCTGTTGTACATAGGGTCACTATGAGTCAGAACTGATTCCACAGCACCTACCAACACCACCAACATATTTGTATACTATGTAACCATTATTTAGATAAATTGAGGGGAATAGGAAAAAATATTTCTCAGGTTTTAGAAAACAAATGCATATGTATTTTATCTCTCTAATATCAAAGGTACATGCTAGTCATTGTAGAAAATTTAGAATATAAAGAAATTAGTATA